ATTAGCCCATTGTACTCATGATCTTGATTATTATTATTGGGTGTGACAAAAGAGAAACAGGCAAGAAGACTGGAGTCCAAGCTGATGGAAAATTCCCTGAGGCTGCTGGAAGTTTGGGCAAGGCCGCAGCAAAGAGCAGTTGTCCTGAGTGACATCTACTCAGAGGTGTCAATGATTTCCCTTGAGCCTTTGGGTGCCCCCATAACTACCCTCATAAAGCAATTATTCCTTCCCAGGGGTCTGTGGGGGAGAGGGGAAGGGGATTAATCAGTCTTGCTCAGTGCCCCGAAGTGCCAAGAAACCTGAGGACACTCAGTGGGATTATAAATAAGTGATGGATGTTATTATGGATTTTAAGAAGGAAAAACTGGCTTCGAGTGGATACATCTCTTGCTACCACAGTTTAGAGGGAGTTCATCTGTATTTACAGGGATGAATTGGGCTGATTTGATACCATTCAGCCTCAGGTAAAAATCTCAACACTTTCTAGCAGGAAGTCTGCCAAGAGCGCATGAGCAGATAGGGATCCACTCTCTGGTTTGACCTTTAGGATGCTGTTCCCCTTGATGAGCTTTTGTATCTTCCCCATCTGTAAAATGACATAGTTATACTTGAACTCTTACCGGGGGACCCCTTCTCTGTAAAACATTCTGAAATTATTATTCTTTTTGCCTTGTGTCCTGTAAGTTCATTTTCTTTCCCCGTTTCTCATTAGTACATTATAAGGAGATGGTAAACTTTTGGTTTGTGGAGAAAGAATTGTATCAGTTGGACTCTTTGGGACATAAAGGAAACTATCACAACTCAATCTGGCTTAGGTAAAAAGGGAATATTTACTAGCTCACACAGCTGGAAAAAGTCCCGGGGTAATGCCTTTAGGCATGGCTGGATCCAGAAGTTCTAATGATATTGTCAGGACTCAGTATCTCAATCTCTGGGTGTACTTTGCCCTGAACTGGCTTTAATTATAAATGGTCTCTCCTCTTATGATGACAGAACTTTCTAGGGAATGAAGGCCAGATGTTTCCAAATAGTTAGAGTCTTCATTCAGAAAATAAAAATTCTAAACTGGATACAATGCAGAGCCTGAGGAAACAGAGAGAGACAGAGCTATTCTACTGTCTGCACCTCCAAGACGCAGGCGTGTCTAGATGCTCTTTATCTAAATCTGGAACCAAACTTTGCAGGAATTGGGCCACCCAGAGGGAAGAATCTGAATGACATGGAATATCTAGCACTGACCCTGGGCTTTGGGAAGAATCTCCCCAGTCAGAGCCTTGTAGCTGTGAAATTGCCTAGCCATCTACACCACCATCATCCCAGCCCAAGCCCGTCACCTCTGGCCTGGACAATCGCAGATGCCTCACAAGGAGTCTTGCTGCCATCTTTCTCCCCCAACACTTCATAATGCACACAGCAGCTGGAAGAATCAGTTCAAAAAATATATCAGCACATGGGACTTCCCTGCTTAAAACTCTATCATGGCTGCCCATCAGGATTAGGAAAAGCTCAAACTCTTTCCTTAAACTTGAGAGTAAAATCCCAACAAGGCTCTGCATGACTGTCCACCTCTCTAACTCCCCTTGCCAAGGTCATTTCCACCTTAGGGCCTTTGCTCTCTTTGGTCCCCCTGCCTGTCCCCTCTTCTTCAGAACTTCACATGGTTGTCTTGTCCCTGACCTCAGGTTCTCAGCTTAGATACATCACCTCCTCTGGGAAGTCTTCCTTGACTGACCAACCACTCTAACTATAGTTGCTGGCACCTCTCTCAGACAACTTCCTCTTGTTTATTTTTCTTCACGGTATTTATCATGATCCAAGTGATCTGGTTTATTTATTTAGCTTGCTTATTAACTGTATTCCCCACCAGAGTAAAAGTCCATGAACATAGGACTGTCTGTTTTATTCTTCTCACGGTATCTCCAGCATCTAGAGTAGTGTTTGGTGAATGGTAGGTGCTCACTAATTATTGGTCAAGAGACTAGCAATCCCAGACCAGCGAATACCTTTGCCTTCTCTTAAATGAATCCAGGGTTTCTCAACCTTGGCACTATTGACATTCAGAGCTGGAGAATGATCTGTTGTGGGTGTCCGTCCATCCTATGCACCTGGAGGGTGTTCAGCAGCATACCTGGCCTCTGGCCATAAAGTGATGACTCCTTGGACAAGGATCATGATGATGGAGGTGAAGAGAAGTAAACAAAATTTTAAAATATAGTAATATTATGCACAACACTATGGAAATGAATCCCTTCATTTTAGAAATGAAGGAAAGAGCCAGAGAGGGGAAGGGACCCAATGGCTTCAGTCAGTTATTGTCTTGCAAAGCAGAGGACTTACTGTGTATCCCTAGCACCTACTTACTTCTCATGCAGTAAATTTGTGTTGGAAAGGATAAATGAGTGAACATGCGGCCCAATATGGCGTTCTTAGGGAAACCTTGCTCATCTCTTGAGGTAAACCCTTTGATTCTACACTCATTTCTGGAGATTACTGGATGGATTCTGTCCCCTCTGCTGGACAGGAGATTCAGAGGAGAATGGCTCCTTTACTGAGCCTGGCACAGGGCCAGGCACACAGGAAGCTCTCAATAACAAGCTGCCCAAAGTAACATGAATAAATGAATGAATCACCAGCTGACCCCTCACTCTCCTCTTCCTCTCACCCTACTTTATTTTTCATCTTACTAGTTACCACCAGCTGCCACATTGCATATTTATTTGTTGATGTATTTCATTGTCCATCTTCCTCCACTAGAATCCAGAATTCCATTCTAGAATTAGATTTTAGCATCTGGCATGGAAGCTCATGAAAGCAAGGGCTATTTAAAATTGCAATCTGCCCCCACCCCACCCCTGCCTCTAACCTTATCCCCTCAGCGCTTATCACTGTCTGACATATTACTCGACTTTCCTGGTTTTTGTCTGTCTCCAGCCAGTTCTGCGAGGGCCGAACGCTTGTGCTTGGCTCACAGCTGTTTCTCAGACGCTTATCCTGGTGCCTCGCACATTGAAGGCACTCACCCCCACGTTGTTGACCTGACAAAGGATGGAGGGAGTGCGTCTCAGCCAGGGAAGGAGCCCAGGTGGGAAGGGCCAGACCGCCAGGTGCACCCCCTTCGCCCAAAGCCCCAGCCCGCCCCCAGCTTCACCTGGAGGCTGGGCCGGGCAGGCAGGAGTTAAGCGGTGCGCACGCTTCCGACCCGCAGGTGGCGCCGTCCCGCCTCCGTGCCTGACTCCGGGCGCTCCGAAGTGCGGGACAGAATCGCAGCCAGCGCGGAGCCGAAGCTCAGCCCCGACTTGTTGATCTCGTTCAAGCCGCCGCCGCCGCCGCCGCCGCCGCCGCCGCCGCCGCGGGAGCAGGAGCAGAAGGAGGTGGAGCAGGAGGCGCCGCCCGACCGCGGACCTGCCACCGGCGCACCCAGCGTTCGCCCGCGCCCCCAGCCTCGGAGAGGGCGCCCCGGCCCCGCGGCGCCTGCAGCCCTAGCGCGGTGCCTGCCCGGCCGCTGTAGGCCGGGCCCGGCCCGGCCCCGGGTCCGCCGCTGCCCGCGGGCGGGGGCGCCCGGGCGGCCGGGGCGATGCGCGGTCCCTGGCCCCGGGAAGCGGCCGCCCTGGGGGTGAGTGTTGAGGCTCTGAGGCCAGCGGCGGGGACACGGGGGGACACGGAAGGGGGGCTCGCCTGCCGCGGCTCGGCCTGTGGGTCCACCCGGGATCCGCGGTTTCAGGCCGGGGAGGGGGTTGTGTGTGTGTGTGTGGGGGGGATTCTTCGGGCAAGGGTTGGGGCCTGGGGAGACGCAAGGGGAGAGGGTGTCAGGCACATATGCGGGGGGGGGGGGGGAGGGGGGGGCTCAGGGCTGCCCCCGATATCACCAGCGCGCGGCGGGAGGAGGGCACGTTTTGAAAAGGCCAGAAAATTCAGCTCCTTTCCCCGCCTCCCACCTCCCCCACCCCTTCCCTTCCAAGCCCCGGGAAAGGCGCAGAACCCGGAGTTATAAAAAGCCATCGCAGGAGAGGAGCGAGGAGGAGGGGGGAGGAGGAAGGAAGGATGGAGCAGGTGGATCCGCAGGACCCGCGTGCCCCTCCTGCGGTGGGGTAGGGGGCACAGAGGGCGGGGCGGGGCTCCGAGCAGACCTCGGTTTGGCGTCTTCATAGCTCCCTTAGTCCCCAGAGCGACCTCGAGGGATGCTCCCGTGGTTTAGGGAGAGGGGTCGCTCCGGCACAGCGAGGCTGGCTCGACCACCCCATCCGCTGTGACCTCCGACAGACAGGTGGGCGCCTGGACCCCCACCAAAAAATTCCCCCCAATCTTTCAAGGTTTAGAAAAAGCAAGCCCACCGCCACCCCCCTAGAACTCAAACTGTGATTATTTCGGAGCGGGGTGGGGAGGAAAAGATGAGAAATCTCAAAAAATAAAAAAGTTTTTCATGCAGCGCCCCTCTCTGCCCATTGCGGGGCTTGGTTCGGGACTCGACGGGGAGACCCAGAAAGAGGCGAGTTTCAGCACTCGAAGGGGAGGACAGCGCCCCGGGCGGCTGGGTCGGGCCAGGGCGGCCGCAGCCCGGGGTGGGGCCTCCCGGATCCCCTGAGCGCCTCGTGGGGGCCCTCTCCCCGCCCCGAGGAGCGGCCCCTCCTTCCACCCAAGGGGTGGGGCGGACTTCAGCACCGGCGGGAGGGACAGCGCCAAGCCTTTCACCACCACCACCCCCCCGCCCCCCCGCCCCTGAGCCGCTTAAGCACAGGGAAGGTCAAGGCCAGCTGGGGTCCCGGTGGAGGGGTGGGGAGGGGCCGCGCCCAGCTCTGTGTTTGCTGACCCGCGTCCGCTTCCTGCCTTGCAGCGGTCGGGATGGAGGTGAGAAGACGGCCGTGACGCGCGCCTGCGCGGCCCCCTGCGCCCCCAGCAGCCCACAGCGCTCCCTGCCCCCCTCCCCCGCGGCGGCCCGCCTTGCCGTCCAGTGACAGCGGCCTGGGGGGGCAGGGGGGGCGGGGGCAACCGGACCAGCGATGCCGGCGGGCATGACGAAGCATGGCTCCCGCTCCACCAGCTCGCTGCCGCCCGAGCCCATGGAGATCGTGCGCAGCAAGGCGTGCTCCAGGCGCGTCCGCCTCAACGTCGGGGGTCTGGCGCACGAGGTGCTCTGGCGCACCCTGGACCGCCTGCCCCGCACGCGGCTGGGCAAGCTGCGCGACTGCAACACGCACGACTCGCTGCTCGAGGTGTGCGACGACTACAGCCTCGACGACAACGAATACTTCTTCGACCGCCACCCGGGCGCCTTCACGTCCATCCTCAACTTCTACCGCACCGGGCGGCTGCACATGATGGAGGAGATGTGCGCGCTGAGCTTCAGCCAAGAGCTTGACTACTGGGGCATCGACGAAATCTACCTGGAGTCCTGCTGCCAGGCCCGCTACCACCAGAAGAAGGAGCAGATGAACGAGGAGCTCAAGCGGGAGGCAGAGACCCTGAGGGAACGAGAGGGGGAAGAGTTCGATAACACGTGCTGTGCAGAGAAGAGGAAAAAGCTCTGGGACCTCCTGGAGAAGCCCAATTCTTCCGTGGCTGCCAAGGTGCGTGGGGGTCTGGGGGCGATGGCACTGGTGGCTCTGCCTGTGTTCCCAGATTGAGGACCACGGCCTGGGGGGGAGGTGGTGTCCTCTGGTTTAGTTCCCAAATGAGACCAGAAAGGGGAGGGGCTACGGCCCCGACCTCAGAGATGAGAACAACCCCTTGGGACCGTTCCTATTTGCATTGGTTACCTCATCCCTTCATTATTCAGTACCTCGCCTTTGTGGGAGACAGGGATTTGTGGAGACATAAAAATCCACAGCAAGGGGGTGGACACTGTAAATAAGAAAGTGCAGAACGACACGAAAGCCTTGCTGGGATGGAGTGGAGTATGGTCCATATACATAATGCTCCTTTGTGGAGCCCTGGACCCAGACTGGAGGGGGGCAGTTGCCTGCGTTTCTAATACTTATCCCTGTATTTATAACCCCACTTTGCCCCAAAGAAGGAATGAAAGCAGCTTATAGACATGCTTGGAGGACACTGAGATACTGTCAGGCAGTTTTAACATAAGTAAGAAAAATGAGGCAAAGCGACTCAGGGGTGGGTGTGTGCATGCATGACGCATGCATCTGGCTGTGGATGCTTGTGGGCGAAGGGTCACCCCTGGTTCGTTCGTTCTTTATTTATTTGGTGAGTTTATTCCAAGAATGATTTGGTGCAGCTTGTAAAGATGCTTTTTGGCTGTCGGAAGAGGATGTAAATTTCGAAATAAGAGAGAAAAATGAGGCAATGTGAAAAATGAAGCAGAAGGCAGCAGAAAGGCTGCGATCATACTGAGTGGACCAGTGTGCTGTTGGGTAAAGGTGGAGGATACGCAGACTGAGAAAGACTTGGGGTGGGGGGACAGGCCAGGGAAGGGGGTCACTGGTTGATGAGTGCTTCTTTGCATTGAGCTGGCTTCCGGGAATGCCTCAGAGAGATGGGGTCTCCCTTCAAGTAGCCAGCATGCTGGGTGAACGACAGCACAGTGTGTTCAGCGCTCTAAAAGAGGTTGTGGGGGGCCCAGAGGGAACCAGAAAAGAGAAGTAGTGATGTTGAAATCCAGGAAGACCACTTTGGGAAAGATGTGTTGAACACAACTCACTTTCGAAGAGTGGGGCCAAGAGGAAGATGGCGGGTGGAGTGAGCAGGTAGGTAAATGTGGCGAAAAGAAAGGCAGGAGGAAGCATCTATAACCAGCATCATGTATTTGCTCAGGTTGCCTCCTGCCCAGCCTGGACTCTTCTTGTGGGGTCCCCCTGGCTTAGTTAGCCCGTTACTGAAGGTCTACCTGCAAGGCTGGGTCCTTTCCTTCGATTTGGCTGCCCAGGAGGAGGCCTCTGAGAGTGCGTGCAAGAGGAGGTGGCTGGTAGGAAGGTGGAGAGAGAGGGGCACCTGGGCGGCTCAGTCGGTTAAGCGTCTGACTTCAGCTCAGGTCATGATCTCCTGGTTCGTGGGTTCGAGCCCCGTGTCGGGCTCTGTGCTGACTGCCAGCTCAGAGCCTGGAGCCTGTTTCAGATTCTGTGTCTCCCTCTCTCTCTGACCCTCCCCTGCTCACGCTGTATCTATCTCTATCTGAAAAATAAATAAAACATTAAAAAAAAAAAAAGGAAGGTGGAGGGAGGCCTGAAGGCTCTCTATTCCCTAGCAGCCCCAAGGAGAATGTAGACATTCTAGGCCTGGTTTCCTCCTCTGTGGGCCGCCTCTGGCCATAATCCTGCCCTAGGTTTCCTGTCCAGAAAGTCTCCCTGTTAAGACAGTCACTCACCCTTAACCGGCTTAGGATCAGCAGACTTATTTTGCTATTTCCAGGCCTGACATGAGTTCCTCCTACACAAACCCTATTTAGGTCCAAACATGACTCTTCCCCCTCCCTGTCCTGTCCCTAAGACATGAGATTGAGGGGCCAAGAGGGTCGAGTCAGCCTCCCACAGAAGAAGCAGGCAAAGGGCTGTGTTTGGGTTCGAGTCTGGCAGCAAGATAGGGGAGCTCAGGCTTGCAAAAGACACCGTCTGGCAATAAACAGCCTCATCTTGCCCTCGGGTTAATCCGCTGGCAGGGACAAGCTTCATGACCTCTCCATGATCCCAGGCTCAGGCTGTCAGCTCGCATTCCTGGCAGATGGGCAGTCTAGGATATTCTTCAGGCAGAACTGAAATGGGGGGGCGGGGGGGGAGGCAGGCCAGCAGGCTCACTGACCCTCAGTAGAAATCCTGACTGCTGTTGATCAAATATTGTGTGCAAAATGTAACAACACATTTAGTCCTTATGCCAGCTCTCTGTTGTTCCACCTTTCACAAATTGGGAGGTTCAGAGAGGTTGAGTAACTTGCCTAAGGTCACACAGCACACAAACAGGAGTAGCCAGAAATTCAAACCCAAGTGTGACTTTTGAAGGCCTTGTTCTTTCCATAATGATTAAGGGGCACAGACTCCTCCCCGGTCTCCCGGCTTCCACGTTTGCCCCTTGCGATCCATTCCCCATATAGCAGCCAGAATGAGCTTTTCAAAATATGAACTGGATCACATTATTTGTCTGCTAAAAATCCTCCAGAGATGTTCCACAACACTCAGAATAAAATCCAAACCCTCCACCATGGCATACCAGACCCATGTCCTCTGAGTTCAACTCTTCAATCTCCTCTCGTTCGCTGGGCTTCAGACCCCACTGGCTTCCTTGCTTTTCCTGAAACCAGGCAGGCTTTAGCCTACCTCAGGACTTTTGCATTTGCTATTCCTACTGCTTAGAATGCTCTTCCCCAACTTGTCCTGTGGCCAGCTGCTGCTTATTCCTCATCTGAGCAGGTCTCTGCCCAAATAACCCTCTGCAGAGAGACTTTTCCTAACCCATCTAAAACCGCCTCCTTCTCCTTACTCTCTGCAGCCGGACTCTTTCCTGCATAGGCTTTAAGCACCATCTGAAACTGTATTTGCTTCCTTTCCTTTCTCCCCCTCAAGAGTGTGAGTGTCATGAGTTATATTTGCTGCTGTGTTCCCAGCACCCATCAAGGTACCTGGCCTAGAGGAGCTCCAAATAACTACATGTGGAATGAATGAATGGATCAAGCAATCAGTCAGTGTGTCTCAGGTTTTGGGGACCTGTCTCCCCTCCCTCACTGCCTGCTTGCAGCCCAGCTTCCGGGGCCTCTGGCCTCCTTCAGTTATCTGCACTTTTCCCATCTCTCCCTCTCCATCCCCCTATTTAGATGCCTTGCTTGTCAGAACAGTAAAGCCTGGGGAAATTTCCTGGAGACCACAGAATGAGATGGTCAAATGGAAGATCATTCCTAGGTGGTTGTGAGATACAGAAGCAACCTTACCTCATATGTTTAGGGCAAGGACAGACCGGGGGTCTGGGCCCAGCCCCACCCTCTCCCCAGTTTCTGGGCTCACGCAGGTTCTTCACCTCCGCGAGCCCTTGCCTTCCACCTATAAAATGGAGCTAAAAGCCCCACCATGCAGGTCATCAAGAAATCACGTTTGTCAAGATTTAGCACAGTGCCTAGCACATTGGAGTAGGTGGGGCTTGTTGCTATAAATAATGAAGAGCGGAGTCCTTTCTCTATGACTGGGTGGGCTGAGTTGCGACAAACTATTTCCTTCTGATAGCAAGACTGGGAGACGGAGCTGACTGTTAATAATTGATGGGATGTTCTGGCAACGCGGAGGCAAACCAGAGTACAGGCCCTAGCATTCACCGTCAGGGGAGAGAAAATCAAAATCCATTAGGCAAAAGGCAGTGTGATTGATTCTTATTTGGAAGCTGGGGTCAGCCCTGTCAGAGTGACAGGGTTGTGGTCCCGGGTCACCGCTGGGTTTCTGCTTTCTCAGAAAACTCTACAGGCTTTTCTTAGCAGGAGAGAAAGAGGGAAATAATTTGCTAGGCCAGGAATGTCTGCCCTCCCTGGAATAGTCTTACGTCATACATATGAGTCTGAGATAATTTCCTGATTTCCAGATTGGCTACTGTTTATTGTGCTAGGCACTGATTAGAGGTACTTTATATGTCCTATCTCAGTGAAATCCCTTCAACAATCCTATCAGATAATCTGCCAGTTTGGGCTGCAAGTAATAAAATAGGAAACTCAAAGTGGCCTCTACAAGAAGGAAGATGCATCATCTCACATAATAGAAAGCTCCAAGGTAGCTGGTTTCGGTGAATGGCTCCATGATGCCCTCAGAATTCTATAGTCTAGAATCCTCCAGGTGGCTCAGTCCTCAGGCTTGGTGCCTCATGTCACAAGATGGCTAATGTAGACCCATGAAATGCAACCAGTGAAGAGGGATATTTCCTCCTGTGTACCCTTTGTTCTCTGAGAGGCAAGCCTTTCCCAGGAGGCCCTATGAGACTTCTTTTCACATCCTATTGACCATGATCCGGTCACATGCTCATGTTCTCACCGCAAGGAAGCCTGGGGAAGCAAGTGTCTGGCATTTTCAGTTGCAGGAAGAAATGGCTTTGATGAGTGTTATTAAGACTCTTTCACAAGGGTGCCTGGGTGGCTCAGTCAGTTGGGCATCTGACTTAAGCTCAGGTCATGTTCTTGTGGTCTGTGAGTTTGAGCCCCGCACTGGGCTCTGTGCTGACAGCTCCGAGCCTGGAGCCTGCTTTGGATTCTGTGTCTCCCTCTCTATCTCTGCCTCTGCCCCACTCACGCTCTGTCTCTCTCTCTCTCTCTCAAAAATAAATAAACATTAAAAAAATTGAAAGATTCTTTCACAAAGAGGAAATGGAGGCTCTGAGAGGTAAAGTCACTTGCTGGAACTCACATAAGTAAATGCTCAGTAAATATTTGTTGAAGGAATGAAAATGGCAGAGCCAGGGTTTGAACCTGGCTTGGTCTGGTTCCCAGCCTGTGTTTCTTAATCCTGGAATCTTGGGTAGACCATTCAAGCTGTCAGAGCTTCAGTGAGCTCATCGGCCAAATGGTAGTTAGAGCCATGCCCACCTCTTGGGGCTGTTTTGATGACTCAGTGAGATTTCAGATGTGAATATAATTTGCAAATGGAAAGTATTTTAT